CATCACAGTCTGACGGTGCCTCCCGCCCAATCCAGCTTTGGCCCCTCTGCTTTCACGCTTCAAAACTTCCTCAAAACTGTTTCCATTCCCAACTGTGTCTCAGCATGTCCTTCTTGGAGAACCCAACCATCACTGACCTCCCAGAGCCTCATATGTCCCAGATAACCAGAGCAAACAATTTGAAATGCCAGTCCACTGGAATGCAATGCCCTGAGGACAGGCATAACACTGTTCTCTTTTCTGATTATCGCAGCACCTAGAACAGTAAGAGGCACACAGCCATGGGCGTGGAGCTCAGTCAACGACGGTCAGATGAATGAACGAAGCCCAGATCTCTGCATCCGCGCTCACTGGGACTGGTGGGGACTCCGCCAGCACCTCCTGTCTTCCTCCGCAGCCCAATGCCTCTTCCTGCTGCTTCACTAACACCCACCCCTTCCCTCCATCTGCCTTTCTCTCCCTTCCTCAGTTACCCGGGAATTTACACCGGGCGCAGCGCTCTGAGCTCAGAACTGTCTTCTGCTGTTGCTCCAAACCACCTGGCCCTCCCCTTGTCTGCTTTCTCTGCCAGCCGGTGCCATTTGTAGCCTCCACTTCCACCTACCCAGGACCAACACCATCAGCCCACCATGGGCTTTACCTGTGTCTGGAGTTCCCATTCCCCAACTGTGTCCTAAGGAACGCTTACCATCGGGGTGCTTACTTCAAAAATTATCTTCTGCATGTCAGGCACCCTATTAGGTGCTCTGTTTATATTACACTTTTTATTATGCTAAAACATACCTAACATAAAGTTTACCATTTTAACGATTTTTGAGTGCACAAGTTTAGTTACATTCAATATAATTGTATCTCAGTATCCATGGGGCATTGGTTCCATGGATACCAAAATCTGTGGATGCTCAAGTCCATTATGTAAAATGACACAATACAGTTGGTTGGCTCCAAATCTGTGGATACAGAAGCCTGGTTATACATTCAGTGTGGACAGACCACACTTTGTTTATACATTCATCAGCTGGTGGGCTACATTTTGGCTATTGTGAATGTGTTTGGAGCATTTGGCATTTTGTCAATTTGGCTGTTGTCAATGCTTCTAGGAGCATTGGTATACACATATCTGTTTTTGGTCCCAGTTATCAGTTCTTTTTGAGTATGCATATAAGAGTGAAATGGCTGGATCATATGGTAATTGTATAGTTAACTTTTTGAGGACCCACCAAACTGTTTTCTACATTGCTAACCTGGTACTTTTTGGAAAAAAGCATTCCACAGTCAATAGACTTCCTCCTCCAACTCTTTCTTGGAGAGTCACATTGCACTGTAGCATTGTAAAGTCTCTGAGAGGTCCTGCAATAAGAAAAAAAAAAAAAAAAAAAGAGTCTTTGTAACTTTGACCCATCACTCCCCAAACTAACTTAAAAGTGGAACTGTGTTTTGCAGAGTAACTGGTAACATACTGCTGGTTTAGGAAACAGTGCCCTGAGCTCCATGAGGGAGACAAAGAGGGCCTGGGGCTCAGGACCAGAGAAGAATCACTTGAGGCCCAGAGAAGGGACAACCTACAACTCTCCAACTAGCTTACTGGGTGACACTTGGCAAGTTACTTTCCTTCTCCTGGCAGCTCTGCACACAAGATGTTTTTTGCCTGGTACATCCTTTTGCTGGGCTTACCTTGTGGCTTAGTGGTGAAGAATCTGCCCACTATGCAGAAGACACAGGTTTAATGCCTCGGTAGGGAAGATCCACATGAGAAGGAAATGGCAACCCACTCCAGTACCCTTGCCTGGAGAATCCCATGGACAGAGGAGCCTGGTGGGTTACAGTCCATGGGGTCATAAGATTCAGACTTGATTTAGCAACTAAACAAAACCAATACCCTTCTGCAGCTTCTTTGCTTCTTCATGATTAACTTGACCTTCAGGACTAGCTCAGAGAGCCATCCCTTCCCTCAGGAAACTCAGACCCTGCTCTCCTGTCTCCCCAGGCAAGGACTGGAAGGCCCTCTCTGCTGGCTCTTATTAAACTGTGTTGCCCTGTTAAATGGTCAGCTTCTTCTACTAAATCAAGGCAGGTGGCTGGGGGTGGGGGTGGGGGTGGGGAGGAGAAAGGGTCAAAGTTAGTTTCCATAAACAACCACCTGGAGAGCTTAGTTAAGAATGTAGTTGCAACCGCCTGAACCCTAAGAATTCCAGCTCAGTAACTCTGAGACTTGTGTTCAGCAGCTTTAGAGTGTGAATTTTGAATAAGCACCTGGCAATGTTCTCAGGCAGATGATTCTTGGGATCCTCTGTGGTCAGCTATGTGAGGATAAGATTCACTTCTACCTCTGTGTTTTTTACATAAATGTTAAATGAATGAACAAATGAATGAAACAACCTCAATTTCCTTCTCTGTAAAAGATGAGGTTGGACTGAATGTTCTCTAAGCTTTTCTTTGGTTAAACTTCTTTTTATAAAGTTCAGATTATTTCATCCAAGACGCTGTGTTCCTTGCAGCTTTAATATCCAGACCATACACAACGCATGAAGCCAAGCACTCAAAACCACCAGGGAGCCCCTCTGAGGAGGACTCAGTCCACGCTGGTATTTAACAAATGCCCCAGGACTCATGAACAACCTTGCTTTTGAAACGATTATCCATTTCATCACAAGCTGGAGAAATAAAGCAAGCATACACTCATGACCGAGTGAATTCACGCTCATTCTCTCTCAAGAGCATGAGTAGCTGACAGGCAGCACTGCCAGGGCTGAGAAACACTTAAGTTTGAGAATTAGGGAGCCAGGCATACTGAGAAACCAGGGGCTAGAGAAGGTGCTGGGGTGCTGAGCACTTTCTCCCGCTATGAGGAGAGGGCACAGATGATCAGTACTGTCAGGGCACCCTGACTCTGCTCCAACCATTTCTCGGAGGAGTCTTTGAGCATAAAACCTTGACTCTCCTCTGCCTGAGAACCCTGCAGGTTTTGAGAAGCAACTCCAGCTTCTCATGAGAGCTATGGCCTGAGAAAAATGAAGTCTCCTGTTACTTGTAACCTCTTAGCATTTCAGAGGAAAAGGTTGGCTATGGCTGCCAAGATCCAGCAAATATTTGGTTAGCTTGGAAAGAATGGGTGCTCATTTTCCAATTCTCACAGATTTCTCTCTGCCCAGTTCTTTTTATTAAAAACTTCAAATCCAGAGATAAAGTCGAATGGCACTCCAGGCTCTTAAGCATTCATCTGTATCCCGGGGAGCAGAACCCAGAATCTAAACAAAGAAAAGCTTAATCAATAGAGCTCATGAATTTCCTCCAGGAACAGGACCTGGCGTAGCCAAAGAATAAGCAGAGAGGCTGCTTACTGCAGTTTTCTTTGGGTGATTATTTATGAGAAGGGCAGGAGAAGGTTCCCTCATTTGACTAGGGATGGCAAACTGTGGCCCATGCGCAAATCTTGCCTACTGCCTTTTTTTTGCTTCATTTTGTATGGCTTCTAGAATAAGAATTTTTTTTTTTTACATTTTTAAATAGTTGAGAAAAATCAAAAGACAAAAAATATCGCATGACATCTGAAAACCACAGGAAATTCAAATTTGTGTCCATAAATAAAGTTTTATTGTAACACAGCCATATGCATTCATTTGTAGATTGTCTCTGGCTGCTTTTGAGCTGCAGAACAAAGTTGAGTAGCTGAGACTCAAAGCCAAAAAATGTATTCTACCTGGCCCTTTACAGACCAAGTTTTCAGAACCCTGGAGCAGAGGATATAAGAGTTGACCTTCACTGGTATTTGAACTAAAAACTAAAAAATGTGTATGTACAGAGCAAACATCTGTTTAATATGTGAGTCAGGAAACTAAGTATGGTTGCTCAGCACCCCAGAAGTCCTCTGGGTGCCCTTTCTTCCTAACAGGAGGTCCTCGGTATCTGGATCTTTGTGGTAGCATTTTCCTTGCTGTTGTTTACACTTCTGCCCTCTAAACTCTACATTTGAATTCTGCTTGTTTTTGAACTGTGTATAAATAGAATAACATTGTGTATTTTCTTTTCTGTCTTGTTTTTCTTTCAGCATAGTTCCTGAGACTCAGCTTTGGATGACTGCACGTGGCTGCAGTTCTGTCACTGCCTTGGCTGTGTGATCACATGTCCTTCATTACTTGAGCACAGTTCACTTCTTTCCACTGTTGGTGGACAGTTGTGTCATTTCCAGTGTTTGGCTATTGTGGACGGCATTCAACATCGTGTATCTGAACCGTTATTGACTCCCAAGAGAGGAATGGAATAGCTGGAGTGGAGGGTATATGTATCTTTAACTCTACCAGTTAATGCCACCCTGTCCTCCTAAAAGATTGGACCAAATCACCCTCTCGCCAGCTGCCTCCCTTCAAGGAGCAGACTCCCTGTGTCTTGTCAGTCAGCACTATTTCCACCTCTAAACCGTTCCCCCAGCACCTTGAAGAACCAGACGAGGTGCCTGGGAGCCATCATCCCTTCAGCTTTGTATCTCCCATTAACAGAATCTTCAAGTCTTAAAATTTCTGTGAGAAAACTATCAATATCCTAAGAATGGTCCTTGAGATAACGTGATGTCTTTTAGAGTGCTGTGCTTGGCCCACCGGTCAGTCAGTTGTGCGAGCTTCCTGACTACTCTTTCCCCCTTTCCCGTCTCCTGTGGATGGGAGCTAGGGACAGAAGCTCATCACAGCCAGAGGGACAGGCAGCCCCCCGAAGGCTGCAGATCAGACAGGACAAGGAATCAGGGGAAAGGACAACCTCCCCTTTCTCCTTCAGGAAATCAGAGGACTTCCAGATTAGGAAGCTGATGCTTGTGTCTTTCTTGGCAGGGTGTTAGGATAACTGGGAAGAAACGGCCCACTCCAATGGCCATCACCTGGAGGACCATGCACTAGAGGCATTTCTGAGTCATGATGTAGCACTACATTGAAAAGGCACAAATAGACCCGAAACACCAGCACACATTTATCCAGTTTTCGAAGCAGATTAATAGAATAACCAATAAAACATGTATAAAAGCTTTAATTAAATCTGATGAAATAAAACTTCATGTTTTATTTATGGACACTCCCAATATGTAAAGGATTCGGAGACACATTCATTTTTACTGCCATTTCGTCCTCATATCTATAATTAAATCCAGGCTGCAGCTCTGGCCCAAAGCGATGCGGCATTTTAAAGCTGGCCTTGGACACTCCCTCCCCCATCCCCATCTGCTTTTAATTATAATTACCGACCCAATATAAGGGAAGCGGATGGTAAAAACTAAACAAAATAAAACAAACAAACAAACAAAAAATGGTTGCTGCCATTGTGTTTTAAAACAACATGCTGAAAGAGGATTTCAGGCAGGTGGGCACATCCTCTATTTCCAGTTTTATTATGTACCAAGTGCACAATCCCTTCATTTTACTTTTGACATAAAAAAAGGACTTCATGAAACGAGACAAAATAACTTATGATTATATGAAACATAACTGTGACAAATCACAAAACTATACATATTAATAGAAAAAAGTGTACCTAATTCTTTAAAAGATTTATGACAATAAGCACCAGATGTGCCCCTAGAGTAAAATCAGCCCCATATCCAGTATGATATATGCAGTTCATTTCTCTACGTGAGTGTATATAACTATGTACAAGAGTCTGTGTGATTTATGGAAAACAGATTTCCACTTTTCCCCCCAAAGTGCTTTATGTCAGCAACATTACACAGGAGGCTCTGCTGTCTGTGCAAAATAAATCTCCTCTTTTTTACACTTGCCATCTCTCCAATGAGTGTTTTTTTGTTTTTTGTTTTTTTTTTTGCTTTACTCATTGCAAAGAAAAAAAAAAATGTAACCGCAGAAATTCCACACCACCAACAAAAAGTGCTGTTAAAAATGCTGCTTTACAATGACATGGTCAAAACAGTCAAATAAAATACCAAATAATTAAATTGGACATTTTTAACCACTATTCCCAAAATTCAAGGCAACTCGGAGGCAAGGTTCTTGAAGATGAGGTTCTCTTCTAGTATGCTAATGTGCTTGACAGCTGCTAATTTAAAAACAACAGAGTAACACCAAAGCTCTGGTTCACCAGTGGAAACTTTGCTGTGATTGACTGATGACCTTTTGTCCATTTTAGAATCACCGAAATAATTTGGGGGGGGGGGTAATGGGAGATATCTTACAGGATATAGAATATTTAATATTTAACACTGATCACAGGCTAAATTACAACTTACATTGTGATGCAGTCCCTTTAGGGAATTAAGACAATGCAGCAAGTAAAATATCTCTAGGCATGCTGATTTTTTTTTTTAATGTAATAGGATAATTGGCTTTGGGCTGTGTGTATTTTCATGAACACCAGCTTCTTTTTTTTTTAAAGGGGAATGACAATCTGTGTTCAGATGTTTATGAAAATGGTTATATATCAAGAGGAAAAAGACTAGAAAATGGAAGGGAATGATCTTTTGAAGTTTCCACTTTTACTGTTACAAACATAATGATGAAAACATATATAAATCTTGTGCAATGTGAAAGCAAGCAAGGAATGAATTTGAAGGTCAGGTGAGATCCTGGAATCTAAGGCCAGCACGTGTCACCCAGAAGGAAACTGGAAGTGGCATGTCCTGGGGTCCTGAGCTCAAACCTGTAGCCAAGGTGAAACACGGGATGGGGGAGGGAGTAGGAGGGGCGCTCCGCCTTGCAGGTGGTACTGGGCCTGCTTCTGCTAATTCCTGCCAGGGAAGGAGTCCTGCAGGTGTGCCTGCCACCTGGCACCCCCAGGCTCCCTTGGGCCTCAGTGAGGCCAGCGGGGAGACTACAGATGCTCAGGAGCATCTCCTCCAGCCAGAGTATCTGGGGTTCTTCCGGCTTTGTCCTCCTTCCCTGTTTCCATGTCAAATTACAGCCAGAAGCCACAAGTAGGCTGACAACATCAACTGCAGTAACTGCCTTACCTTTCCATCTTTTTCCTCATTACATGAATGAAATGTGTTTTGAGTTCCCTGTAGAGGCTCTGGGTTTAGAATGAATAGATTGTCTACCATACCACAACTTCCCTTTCTCTGCAGGGTGTGGCAAAGGACACAGGTGACACAATCCACCAAGTCTGCCAGAAGGGTGGGACTTTGTGTGCGTCTGAGAGCTCATTTAGAAAGAAAAGTCTGACGTGCGTCCTTTGATACAGCAGAGCAGATTTTTGTAAAGTGAATAACTTGTCTCTTTCGCAGACACAGATGTCTGCATGATGGCTCTTCTCAGATCAGAGCCCACTATCCAGAGAAATGAGACTGAGAGCACTGTAAAAGCGGACCCTGCGCTTGGTTCTTTATTAGCCTGATCATACTGCATGTGGGAATGAAGTCCTGAGTCAGGCAGAACACTACCGACTGTGCAGCAGACTGGAAGGACACGTCTGTCAGGATACAAACTGTCACCAGATCCTAAGTCTGACACCAAGCTGTTTAATTGTCTTGTTGGAGATTGTAATTATCCCAGTTTGACAAATAGCATTGTTTCATTTTTCTTCAGAGAACATTTTTAAAGAGAGAGAAAAGAAATCATGAGATGTGATAGTACTGGGATGTCAGAATTTACCAGGTTTTGGGGGGTTTGGCAATTTTTATAGTCATCGGACTTGGGACCTTTTTAATTGCTTGGTAAAGGTGTCACAGAGGACAGAGGAGCCTGGAGGGCTATAGTCCTTGGGGCAGCAAGGAGTCGGGCATGACTTAGCAATAAAACAACAGCAACAAAAAGGTGTCACAGAAAATGACTTCCTATTCAGGGTTGAGATCAAATGGCCAAGAGCTCTGTGAAAATTCTAGGCCCTCAAAACAGAGTTTCAGACAAAGCGGTTGCTTCTTTTCGGCCACCTTTCCAGAACTGTCTCCTCTACCTGCCCTAGGCTAGACCCTGCTCAGGTGGTGGGTATGTCTGAACTACAGTCAAAAACAAGGATGAGAGCAATGAAGAGGGAGGAGAAGGGCAAGGGAGCGACAGAGACCGGTGCGGGGAGATCCCAACAGAGGGAGCAGAGGCTGTGCAAAGTAGCTGGACATCAGGCACCTCTAGTCTGGCCTTCTGAGAGAAGCCAGGAGCACACCTCCATGTGTCCCTGCTCTCACAGCTTCTAGCAGGTCTCTGGGCAGAGCACCAGAGTGGAGGCCATGGGTGAACCAGTCAAGAGAAATTTTCCTTTGAATAAAGTCCTCAAGGTGGAGTCACTAACAGTCAACACACGAGGGTCTCTGTGGTAGCACTGGGAAGGGGGTGGCTGACCCCATGTCTCTCAGGTAGCCTTTGCAGAACATTCCTGGTGCACACAGGAGCTATGAGGCGGGGCCAAGCCAAGCCACAGCAGAGGCCAGACGTATGTAGCTGGGGTGATTAAAATAATTATTTCCATCCAAAGAACAGACTTCTAAATATTTTTTCCTTTAAAAGTACATGTAAATAACAAGGCTTTAAAATCAAAGGACTAAGATAGGTTGCAGGAATACAAAACAAGCTGTCAAGCTTTTCAAGGGGCTGTGCTTGACAGAACCTTCTCATTTTGCTTTTGGAAAAACACTGAAAAGCAATTGGTTAGCATGGGAGTACCCAGGAGGAGAGAGGCAGCCAGCTCCCTGGATGCCAGGCTGGTGCTGGGAAACTGGGCCGAACCCATGCTGGACTTGGATGTGGATTTCCCTTGTTGCGCCTGGCTCTTGGGTGAGGCAATTCACTGTGCTGGCAATCTGGGTTGTCCATCCTTATTTGGAGTTTTCAGCAAGGGTGATCTCCAAATTACATTTTCACATGCACATAATCTCACTGGTGTCCCTTGAAGGTTGACAACTGGGAAGTAACAGATATCCAGTAGTGAGACTCCGAATTCCCTTTGAAAAGACAGTCCTGCTGGTCACTGGCAAATCCAGAGGGAAAAAGGAGCAGTTGCAAACACACCAACAAATCCCAGCTCTGACCATCCAGCCCTGCTCTCCAAAGACACATCTGTGGTGTGGCATATTGAGTTGATTTGCTTGACATCCTTTTTCTTAGGGTCTGCGAAAGTATAAGAACAAAAGGTGACAAGGAACAAAAAGATTCTGGATGCCAGCAGCAGTGGAGGCTAGGGGAGATTTTAGCCTTCAGTATAGACAGAGGAGAGCTGGCTAGGACAGCGGTCCACAGCACTGATCTGTAAGAATGTGGCATCTTCAGGTCCACTGCGAAGAGTCTCCCCAAAGAGGCTTGAGGAACCCGAAGGCAAATCATACACTGGAAAAGAAAGAGGGCACAAATCAACTGATGCTTCATCATACTTGCCAGGCATGCAGGGAGCAAATGTGGACTGGGGAGCCCACAGTGCTGGGCAAGGCCTTTCAGCGGGTCCCATCCTCAGGCTCCTTAGGTGAAGAAGTGGCTGAATGTGCAGGCAGATGGCTAAAATAGGACTTGCATGAAAGATGGGTTGAGTAGCAATGAAAGTAAAATTTTGTAGGGAAGAGTGAGGATGGCCTCAAAAAGAGGTGATATAAAAGTTGAGTCATTTAAGAATGGATGGGATTATCATAGAAGGGGAGGTAAAGAAAGAACATTCTAGTAGGAGGAAACAGGGAGCAAAGACAGAGAGTGGGGTATGTGGGGCCAAGTGTGTTGGCAAAGCTCAGGTGCAGAGCAGGTACGGAGACAGATAAGGAAAATACATGAGATAGGAGGGTAGGTCCATGGAGTCTGATCAGGCTCAACTCCTGGGGACTATGAATGCCTTGCTGCAGACAGTCAACTTTATTCTCTAGGGCAACTAGAAATTACTGAATGTATCTGAACAGGAAAGCACCTTACTTTTTCCTTTATTTTTGGAAGGCAATGGTTACAGGTAGCACAGAGAGCAGAATGGGACAGTTAAGGAGTTGACTCAAGGAAACTTGTTGGAAGGCTGTTGCTTAAGTCTGGGAGAAACATGATGGCACCTGAGTGAGGGTGGTGGAAGTGGGGCTGGAGGGGAGGATGAAGAAGAAAGACATTTCTCAGGTGGACTAGATAGGATTTGATGCAGTCATGTGCTAGGTCAAGTCTAGTCCAGGCTGGTCATGAGAAACCCACATGATCTCACCTGCTAGTCTGCCTGAGTGTCTAAGTCACAGATACCAACATACCTGTAATGCCCGAGTGAGTTGAGAAGGCTCTGTGGAAAACATCAAAGCCAGCCTGGCCCACAGAAGTGGGGACCAGACAGTCCTCGAAGGAAGGCATCACACTGCAGGAACTGCTAGGTGGCATGGTTCTCTGAGAGTCAGGATAATTTGGGGGGCAGAATGTCTGTAGTTGCCCATAAAATCCTGAAATTCAAGACAGAAGTAGGGATAGATTTATGAACAGGCCATAGTCACTGTAGAAAACAAAATAATATCCTTTATAACTAATCAGAAGTATACTTTATATAGAACCAAGGGAAAATTCCCTATGAGGTTTGGGAGGAAGATTATACTCATGTTAGCAGTGTGTGTGTTTGTGTGTGTGCGTGCGCACACACATGGGCATGCGCGCACACACTCAGTTGCTTCAGTCCTGTCTGACTTTTTGCAACCCCATGGACTGTAGCCTGCCAGGCTCCTCTGTCCATGGGGATTTTCCTGGCAAGAATACTGGAGTGGGTTGGCATGCCCTCCTCTGGGGCATCTTCCTGACCCAGGGATCAAGCCCGCGTCTCCTGTGTCTCTTGCACTGGCAGATCGGTTCTTTACCACTCAGCCACAAGGGAAGATCCATGTTAGCAGTAAAATTCCATGTCAAGGAAGGAGAAAAAAGAAAGAAAAACTACTGGCTTTTCTCTTTTTGATGCCCTAAGGCCTCTGCATGGACTCAGCAGACAGATGGGCAAAGGACCCAAACAGACCACTCAAATACTCATATAATTTATCAACTAATATGATCAGATGGTAAAGACTCTGCCTGAAATGCAGGAGACCCAGGTTCGATCCCTCGCTTGGGAAGATCCCCTGGAGAAGGGAATGGCTACCCACTCTAGTATTCTTGCCTGGAGAATTCTATGGACAGAAGAGCCTGGTAGGTTGCAGTCCATGGAGTTGCAAAGAGTCAGACATGCCTGACCGACTAACACAGACACATGGTCAAACTGACAATTCTTTAGTCAGTAAAGCAATAAAAATCAAGACAATGATATAATACCATATTCTACCTATCACATTAGCAAAGATTTCTGAGACTCATTCTTGGTGCTGGACTGAGACTGGTGACCAAGGCAGCTGTGTGTGGTGTGCAGAGCCTGCAAAGGAGTACAGGCTTCTGAAAACCACTTGAAACTCAGCTGTGGAACCTGAAAGTGTCCTCTTGACAGGGGAATTTCACTTTCAAGGATGCATCCTAAAAGTGTATTTTGAAAATTATAAGTCTTGCACAGACACAGTTATCACAGTGCTCGTTGTCATAACAGAAAACTGAGGAGTCAAACTAGCCAACCATGAGAGAGTGGTGGAGAAAAGACTGGTATATTTACCTAATGGGAATGTTAAATAGCCATGAAAACAATATTTACAAGGAGTTTTTTTCATACTGTTCATGAGAAATTTCAGATATACAAGTGGATTTAGAAAAGGCAGAGGAACCAGAGATCAAACTGCCAACATCCGTTGGATCATAGAAGAAGCAGGGAATTCCAAAAAAACATCTATTTCTCCTTCATTGACTATGTTAAAGACTTTGACTGTGTGGATCACAAAAAAGTGTGGAAAATTCTTAAAGAAATGGGAGTACCAGACTACCTTATCTGTCTCCTGAGAAACCTCTATGTAGATCAAGAAGCAATAGTTAGAATCAGACAAGGAACAATGGGCTGGTTCAAAATTAGGAAAGTACTACCTCAAGGTTGTATATTGTCTCCCTGCTTATCCAACTTATATGCAGAGTAATGCCAGGATGCAAAATGCCAGGATGGATGAAGCACAAGCTGGAATCTAGATTACCAGGAGAAATATCAATAACCTATTAAGGCGATAATACTACCTTAATGGCAGAAAGCAAAGAGGAACTAAAGAGCCCCTGGATGAAAGTGAAAGGGGAGAATGAAAAAGCTGGCTTAAAACTCAACATTCAGAAAACAAAGATCTGGTCCTATCACTTCATGGCAAATAGGTGGGAGAAAAGTAGAAACAGTGATAGATTTTATTCTTCTTGGGCTCCAAATTCACTGCAAATGGTGAAATTAAAAGATGCTTGCTCCTTGGAAGAAAAGCTATGACAAAGTTAGACAGCATATTAAAAAGCAGAGACATTACTTGGCCAACAAAGGTCCATATAGTCAAAGCTATGGTTTTTCCAGTAGTCATGTAAGGATGTGAGAGTTGGACTATAAAGAAAGATGAGCTCCAAAGAATTGATGCTTTTGAACTGTGGTGTTGGAGAAGACCCTTGAGAGTCCCTTGGACTGCAAGGAGATCAAACCAGTCCATCCTACAGGAAATCAACCCTGAATATGCACTGGAAGGACTGATAATGAAACTGAAGCTCCAATACTTTGGCCACCTGATGTGAAGAACTAACTCATTGGAAAAGACCCTTATACTGGGAAAGATTGATGGCAGGAGGAGAAGGGGGCGACAGAGATGTTTGGATGGCATCGCTAATTCCATGGACATGAGTTTGAGCAAACTCTGGGAGATAGTGAAGGACAGGGGAGGCTGGTATGCTGTAGTCTATGGGGTCACAAAGAGCTGACTATGACTGAGGGACTAAACAACCACAAATGTATATGCAGATTGCAAGGCAACATTTCTCTAGTTCTCTTTGGGGGGCTTTCTTTGGCTTTATATTTTTCTGAATTTTAATAGTGGTGATGAATAAGTACTCTGAAGCTAGTCAGACTTCCTGGGTTCAAATACTAGTTTGACTCCTGACCAACTGTGTAGTCTTGGTAAATTATTGAGCCTCTCAGTGTTTTAGCTTTCTAAACTGTAAAATGGGATTAAAAGTAGTACCTATATCTCATTGAGTTATTCTAATGAAGATTAAATTAATATTTGCCTGTTATACAATATAATCTGAGAATTAATTATACAATTAACATTAATATATTTGACAATATAATTTATATACATTGCCTAAATAAGAAAAAAGTAAAGTTATGTCACAATAATGTAGCTCTCAAAATTTTTATTAAGAGAAATAAAAATTTCTAAAAGGCAACAAGTAATCCTTCAACAATAACCAAATGTAAGAACAGATAAGACAGGGGGCAAGTCTCTCACTTCCAGTTCTCAGGTGGAATCCTCTGGAACAGTTTTGGCCCCTGGGACCTGTGCTACATACCTCTCTCCCGTGTTGGTTCCTAGATTCTGCACTAATCGGTACACATTCTGATTTCTTCACTCACCCCAGTGCAAGCTCAAAAGAGTAACAAGCGTGAGTGTGCTGAGAGACCTGGATCTACTGTTTCATAGTTTTGTGGACAGAGGAGCCTGGAAGGCTACAGTCCACGGGGTTGCAAAGAGTTGGACATGACTGAGCAACTAACACTTTCACTTTCACTTTTTCAAATCCAACATTCTGGGCTCCACCTCCCTGCTTCCCCCGTCAGTCTGGATCTGAGTGAGAGGGCAGAGTGAACTGCAATTCCTGTCTGTGGGTGTCTTGGCTGACACGAGAAACAGTCAAAACCAGAATGGCCCCACAAGCATGTTTTATCACTCTCACAGCCAGCTCACAGAAAGAAAATCCTCTTTATGAAATCCCTCCCTTCAAGAAGTCAGTTACTAAAGTTGCCAAACACACTGGTGTGGTTGAGTGCGGTCACTCAAATCAAAGAGCTTCAACATAGCCTCTTCCCACTGCTATTTCCATAAAACTAACAAAATTTTAAAAAATTCCATTAGGATCTTGCCACACACACAAACTCAGAGAAAGCCTAACTCATTTTCTGGTGAATGGCTCCTGTATTTCAGCTGCTGAATTTCATGTAGTAAGTTTGGAAGGAATAATACCTCAAGGACCCAAAGCAAAACGAGGCAAGATGTCAGTACATTTCGTGGGCATAAAACACGAGTGATGCCAAGGTCAACCAGTCAACCATCAGCGAATGATGTTATCAAGTACTGGTCAAGGTGCTTTTAGAGATACCAAAGAAATAAAAGGTAATACTGTGTCCTTGAGGATGGATAATGCAGTTCGAACAAGAACACATACACTTAGAATAGTGTAAGAATGTATACGTATGTTTATGTTGGCAATAAATGTTAGTCCTCACATTTAGTTAGAAAATCACCCCTCCCCTATTTTAGAAGTTATTTTTTAACCCAAGGATGGAGGGGGAGGGGGAATTTGCAGATAAACTGACTTTACTGAAGTTGTAGCTCCTGAGGATCAAGGTCATTGCTCCTCTTGTTAATTCTGGGAAGTCTTTTTTTTTTTTTCCTTTCTAAAAACAAGCTTGTTTTCTAATTATAAAAATATTCTGAATTAACTGTATCAACTAGAAAATGTAGAGGCGTATATGCAAAGAAAATAAAGATTATTTCCAAGATTCCGACATAACCAGATACATACATACAAAACTGGAATGTTATATATATTGTTTTGTATCCTTTCTTCTCCCCTAATATTATCTATGAGCTCACATAGTATTAAAATTCATTTTTAAAAACCCCTCCTCTTTGTCACATGGGGTCACTGACAGTTCTATGATAATAAATTAGATTGGGAGTTCATGGTCACTCTTGCTGCCTAATGATGATAAAGCAGTCCATGAAGCTGGGTGTGGATTTTCTTCCCATCATGGAAGGGAAGTGGAGGAAGTCAGTGAAAAAAAAGGAATCACATGACAAAATATGATAATGAAAGGGTATTCCTAGGGCAACACTGTCTAAGAGAACATTGTGTGTTGATGGAAATGATCTGTATCTCACTGTCCAATACAGGAGCTGCATAACTATAGAGCATTTGAAATGTGGCCAGTCAACTGAGGAACCAACTTCTAAATTTTATTTAGTTATAATTAATTAAAATGTATATGGCCATACATGCCTTGTGGCTACTGTACTGGACAGCACAACTCTAGGGCAATCTGCACTCTCAGGTTTAACGGACTTTGTTTCAGGAATGTTTCTGATTAAATTTGTAGAGAAAAAAAACATATTACCCACCAAGAGCTTAAATAAAAGCCAGATAATGATTCTTACACTCCTGCTCTTCAGGATCGAAAGTATATTAGAGCTTTATTATATTTATCTTTTCCTTACAAATTTATACTTCAGTCATTGTGGAAGGAACCAGAGTATAAATACTTCAACGAATAAATAATGGTCACCCAACTCCGAACCTTTGTGAG